TTCGCCTTCTAATGTTTTGCGGTTTCCAACGCTCCAAAACCGAGGAATTTGAAATTAGCTTGGCGAAGGACCCAACCATATGCAGCTGCGAGTACCGCGCGGATATGAGACGAAGGAGGGGGCACGCAAACTAGGCCCCTCTTCTCATAGGCACCGCGCCACTGCATGGACGAGGCACAGGGCAGCGCGGGCAGGAGGTGGCGGGCGGAGGAGGAGAGCTCACTGGGGCGAGACAACACATCAGTATCATCATCGCATCATGAGACCTGTTACTGGGCACGCAGGAAGAGGTGACGGAGACACCGTGTAGATGTCGAAGGCAGGTCAGCAGCGGCAGAAACGAGAAGGGGAAGCGCGCGGTCAAGAAGCGATGGGAAGCAGGAGGAGCGAGAGGCGAGGGGGCACGTTTTTGCTTCCAGACCGACAGCGAGCCACGCAGAATGCAGCGCGCAGGCGGCGCCGCGCGAAAGTGCCTGGGAAGTCCTCGCCGACGCAATCTGGTCATCCCGAGGGAATCCCATCGACGCGCGGGGGTTGTCCACTGCGACTCTGAGTCAACGGATAGCGCCCCCGTACTGCGTGGCGAGGCGTGCGAAAATGGCGCGATCTGGGTGAAATCCCCCGACAGGCGCCGGTCATCCTCTGGCGAGAAATCCCGACGACGAGCTGGGGTCATCCAAGCGTCAGCGACACCCAGCGCGCGCCGCTGGCTCGTGCGGGGCCGCTCCCCAGGTCAGGCCTCGCGGATGAACTCGCTGAAGCCCAGCTCTCTGGCGAGGGCCGTCGCCTCCCTCCTGCACCGCTTCGCGCGCGCTGCAAACTGCTCCAGCTGCTTCCGCAAGCCCTCCGGCGGCCCTGCCAGGAAGAACTCGATGAGCGGCGCCCGCACGAGCAGGAGATCCTCGTGGCGCGTGGCGCGCGAGAGCAGCACGTAGAGCTCCAGCCACCAGTCGTCGTCCTCCTTCTTGCCGTTCCCGACCTCGTGGCGGCCGCAGTCCAGGATCACGCCTGGGCCGCAGCCATTTGGGCCTTCGGTGGAGCTCCCCATGGGGCCACGAAGCGTGTAAGGGGTGTGCCAAAAATGGGATGCGGACGCAGCCATTTGGGCCTTCGGTGGAGCTCCCTATGGGGCCACGAAACGTGTGAGGGGTGTGCCAACATTGGGCGGCGGCGGCATGCGGACGCAGCCATTTGGGCCTTCGGTGGAGCTCCCCATGGGGCCACGAAGCGTGTGAGGGGTGTGCCAAAATTGGGCGGGCGGCGGCATGCGGACGCAGCCACTTGGGCCTTAGATGGAGCTCCCTATGGGGCCACGAAGCGTGTGAGGGGTGTGCCAAAATTGGGTGGCGGCGGCATGCGGACGCAGCCCGAGTCCGTTGGGGCTACGGTGGAGCTCCCTATGGGGACACGAAGGTGTGAGGGGTGTATGTAGCCAAATAATGGGGTGGCGGCGGCAAGCGGACGCAGCATTTGGGCTTATATGGAAGCTTTCCTATTGTGGCCAGAAGGGTGTGAGGGGTGTGCCAAAAAAAATGGGGCTGGCGGCGGCGCGCATATGCGGAGCAGCGGCCCTCGGCTTCGGTGGAGCTCCCTATGGGGCCACGAAGCGTGTGAGGGGTGTGCCAAAATTGGGCGGCGGCGGCATGCGGACGCAGCCATTTGGGCCTTCGGTGGAGCTCCCCATGGGGCCACGAAACGTGTAAGGGGTGTGCCAAAAATGGGGCGGCGGCGGCATGCGGACGCAGCCATTTGGGCCTTAGAAGGAGCTCCCTATGGGGCCACGAAACGTGTGAGGGGTGTGCCAAAATTGGGTGGCGGCGGCATGCGGGCGCAGCCATTTGGGCCTTAGATGGGGCTCCCTCTGGGGCCACGAAACGTGTGAGGGGTGTGCCAAAATTGGGCGGCGGCGGCATGCGGACGCAGCCATTTGGGCCTTCGGTGGGGAAGCTCCATGGGGCCCACGAAGCGCGTATGACGGGGTGTGCCAAAATAGGGTCGCCGGCGGCCTGCGGACGCAGCAATTTGGGCTTTGGTGTGAGCTCCCTAAGGGCCACGACCGTTGAGGGGTTGACGGAATTGGGCGGCGGCGGAAGCGGAGCAGCCATTAGGGCCTTCGGTGGAGTTCCCTGTGGGGGCCACGACAGTGTGCGTGTGTGGTCCGATGATGATGATGATGATGATGACGATGATGATGATGATGATGATGATGATGATGATGATGATGATGATGATGATGCTGATGATCATGATGATGATGATGATGATGATGATGATGATGATGATGATGATGGTGATGATGATGACCGGCAATCACGATGTGGATGATGATGATGATGACGATATTCATGATGATGAGCATGATGAGGATGGTGATGATGATGGGAGGAGGGGGGAGGGGGCAGCGGGAGGAGGAACGCGGGGCACCGTCTTTTCAAAACGAGGACCCAACACCACAGGATGGTTGGGAAAAAAGAAAGAGGAAATTTCAGAGATCCCTTTAACAAACACTCAACAAATGCGCGCCCCCTCCTCCCGGGGGTTCCACACCTTCCCGGAACTGGAACATCTCGTGTACGCTCCCGGTACCACGTTTCCTGGCCTCCCGGGGAGCCCCCACAATGCCCAAAGACAGTCCAGACGACCCCAAGAAGCCCCTACAACCTAACAGCATTGCCCAGGACGCTCCCAAGCAACCCAGGATAGCTTTCGGGCGGCTCTCTGGGCTCCCAGGAGGCCTCCAAGAGACCTCAAGAGAGCTCCGAGAGGCCTCTCGAGAGCGGCCGGAGAATTCAAAATCGTTAAGCTTATTTGTTTTTGTTGCTGGGTTTTTGGCCTTCTCATCATTTCTTGCTTCCAACGCTCCAAGACGGCCTAAGAGGCCCACCAGGCCGCCCCAAGACCGCCCAAGAGGCTCCCAAGACGGCCCCAAGACGGGCCAAGACGGTCCCAAGATTGCCGAAGAGGCGCCTCGGACAGCTCCAGACCACCCAAGAACAGGCCCAAGATGAGCCCAAGAGCGGGAGCAGGAGGTCGCCAGAGACCTCCGAGAGGACTCCGGGACCCCTCAGAGGCCTCCAACACACCCGGACCCCTGAGAGGCCCCCAAGAGATCCACGACGAGGCCCCCAACACAGCCCAAGAGAGCTTCGAGAGCCGTCCCGAGAGAGCCCGAAGAGGGTCAAACCGTTGTTTTCCAATGGTTTTTGCCAACGCTTTTCGCATTCTCACGTTTTCCCGCTTCCGACGCTCCAAGACCGAGGAATTTGGAAAAAAGGGAATTCCAGAGATTCCCTTTTTTTTCAAGTTGGGACTCCTACTCCCTATCCTCTTCCTCGAGACCCATCAAGACTTCGGGGTCACATACAAAAATGTTTCGGGAATGCTGTTGAACTCTCTGACGCTGTCTTGGCACTCTCTTGGATCGTCTTCGTGTCCTCTTGGCTGCCCTTGAAACCATTGTCGAAATCGAGATCCCATGATACCATGAGTTGAAGCAGTGGAATATTTGATGTCCTTTTTGTTCAAACTCACCCCCTTCTTATTTTTGCACGAAGACCCCGAGAGGCAGCCCAACAGACCGTGGCCTGCACGCAGAAAACGTCTAACCCACAGCCAGCCCAGGCACTACAACTTCCGAAAAAGGGACATCCCACCAATCCCACGTCTACAGACCACAATGAAGGCCCCAGACACGAACCCAGGACCCAGGAAGCTTTCGAGAGCCCCAAATCGTTGAATACCTAACGGCAATTCACGATTTTTGCGTTTCCGCAGTTCCCGTTCTATGCGATTCCTAGGCTTGCGCAAGGCCTCCAAGAGAGTCCCTAAACGAAGCAAACGACAAAGATTTGTCATGCGTTAAGCCCAACACGCCTTAGCTCCAGAGCTTCTTGAGCGCGCGCGACGCGCGCGCGATGGTTTTCTAGTGTGTGGTTATATGTGTATATGTACACATGTTCAGATGCACACAATTGGACTTCGGCGCATCCCGCCACCGTGCCTGGGTCGTGGACCAGAGGCTTCTGAGGGCCCCCTTCTGAGAGACCTCTTTGAGGTCTCTTGGAAGCCCTCCTGGAGCCTCTCGGAGTCTTCTTTGAGGGGTCTTCGCGGAGGGTCTTACGGCCGTTTGGGTGCTCTCTGGGGGCCCGTTTCGGCAGTCGTGCGCCCACTTTGCGCCGTGTTGGGTCTTCCGGTAGGGTCTGGAGGCTCTCCGCAGGCTTTTCGGGGCCGTTTTGGGACCTTCTCTGGGCTACCCAGAGCTCCCCTTGAGGGTGGCTGGCCGTGATGCTCTCTTGGGCCGTCTTGGGGCTCTTCTGGGGCCCCCGAGGGGGCCCTCACTGGCCGTCCTGGAGTCGCCTTACGCCCGAGGGCAGGGAGGCCACCCCTCGTACAGTCGGGGCCCTGAAGAAGGAACCCTTTTCGTTGGGGAGGGGCTCCGTGTTCCTTAAGTCACAGCTTGCCTCAGGTTTCCCTCTTGTTTTCGATACGAAATCGAAGTTTAACTTATGGAAAATAGGGGCCTCGTTCCTGATTTAGGGTTCCTTAGGTCAACGCCCCGACTGTAGGGCGCGACCGCGAAAAGCACGGTCTTCCAATATCTAGGGGGGCCGCTTGTCTCAGCACAGCTCCTCGGGCGGCAGGTCCACAAGGCAGCACATGCGTGAGTGCGAGCGCGCGCCTCCCCCGTCGCGCTGCCTGCCGCGGCGACCTCTCCCCCCTCCTCCCTCCTCCTCTTTCTCCTCCCTCTCTCCTTCTACCCCTTCCCACTCACCTCCCTACCTCCTCCTCTTAGCGGCCCAAACCCGGATGGCGGGCCTCCCCCTCTCCTCCTTCCCGCCTCCTCCTCCTCCTCCTCCTTCTCTCTCCCTCCTCCTCCTCCTCCCTCCTCCTCCTCCTCCTCCTCCTCCTCCTCCTCCTCCTCCTCCTCCTCCTTGGAGACCCTTCTCCCTCCTCCTCTTCCTCCTCCGGCTTCGCCCCCTCCTCCCTTCGCAGATCTCGAGGAGCCACCCGCCGCGGGCCGCGCCGCGCCGTCCTGGGCCGAGAAGGCCGCCGCGGCGCGCCGCGCGGTGCCGGCCGAGAGGGCGGCCCCGGCGCGGAGCGCGGACGCGCCTGCCCGGCAGCCCAGGGCCGAGGAGCAGCGCTCGCCCTCGCCTCTCCTCTCCGGCCCGCTCTCGTAGGGGGCCACGTGCGAACCTTGCCCCTGCCCCTCACGATTTCTGAGGGGGAGGGTGGGGTTTGGGGTTCACCTCGCCCGGGAGCTCCCGAGCGAAGTGAACCCCACCCTCCCCCTCAGAAATCGTGGGGGGCAGGGTCAGGTTCGCACGTGGCCCCCGAGGCCCGCTCTCGTCCTCCTCTCCCCGTGCGCACCTCCGCCTCTGCGCCCCGTCGTGGCCTGCCCTCCTCGCCCTCGGTTCCCCATGGCGGCTCTGGGTTACGAGTCCCGGTGCTCTCTATAGGGAGCCTGGCAGCGGCAATGCAAGCACTGGGTCGAAGAGGGGAGCGAGAGAGAGAGAGCGAGAGAGAGAGAGAGGGAGAGGCAGACAGAGGGAGGGATAGAGAGAGAGAGAGTGAGAGAGAGGACAAACAGATCAGAGGGAGGGCCAGAGAGGGATATATATATATATAGAGAGAGAGAGAGAGAGAGTGAGAGAGAGAGGACAAACAGATCAGAGGGAGGGCCAGAGAGGGAAATATATATATATAGAGAGAGAGAGAGAGCGCGACAGTTCGGACCAATCTGCCTGTCCTTGCCCGGTGGGTTGTGAATGCCGCCCAGGCCAACCTCACAATGGCGGGAGGTGCCTCAAAACGTACAGGGGTGGGGAATCCCTACCCCTGGCGCGGTCTGTAAAAGACCCCAGTTGGAAAGCAAGGCGGGTCTGTGGCGATCAGGGAATGGCACACCCTGTCTGCACACCCGAGCAACAGGCGCCGGCTATTAGCGCGCGTTGGCATGCGCGCCTCGGAACCTCAGTGAACCAGGGCAGGGCTAAGGCTACGGAACAGTTGCCAGCGGTTCGCGCAGCGCATTCAGGAATTTGGAGAGGCTAGCACTGGTGTGCTAGCTGTGGGCATCGAGGCTCGCCTGGAGGCTTGCCCGGGGAGAGGCCCCAAGGCGAGCAGGCGATCGGAAGGCCTGATGGAGGTCGGTCCAGGCGTGGTGTGCTCTTTGGAATTTGTCAAGACGTAGTCATGACTGCCCCTGGACGCTATGTTGGATGTGTGGAAGGCTGGTAGCCCATTGTTGCAGCGCAAGGATATACCCTCCATCGTCTGGGTCCTCGATGGGGTCATCTGGTGTGCTGTGATCGTTGCCAGTATCTTGAATGGGGTCGCTTCCTTGGTTGTACGCGACTGCTGTGCAGTCTGGACTGGTCTCCATCTGCTCGGATGACGCAACGGCTTCGGTCCATGAGGTCGGCGGGCCAGGTTCATCCGTAACGGTGCCCCTGGTGGCGAAGGCAGTCTCGCGATCGAGGTCGGCTGGTTGAGTGGCAACGGCGGGGCGTTGCGTGAAGACACGTATCCGATCGGTGATCTGCATTGGAGTCACACGGGTGCCTGCACCATGGTGGGCGGTGCTGAGGCCGCGAGCCCGCGTGCCCTGGTGGGACGGGAGAGCGGCCCGATGGCAGGGGTGCGCTGATTTGAGGGCCCGGATGAGCGGCAGCACTGTCCAGAGCCCATCGAGCTGTGGCGACGGCACGAGCCCACCCAATGGCCCAGCCTTCGGGTCCTCGCCGGCCAGCTCCGCGCTCAGGCCATTGGCGTGGGGGCCGCAGCCAGTGCCAGGCGCGCGGCTAGCAGCAGCGGGAAGGACAGAGAGGGCTGAGCTACGTTCCGTGTGGCCGAGCCCCCATGTACCATGCGCGGTCGGCGGTCTGGCGCCCCGGGCCTGGGACTCGGTCCCGGTGGTGGCCCCCCGCTCTGGAGGCATCGTCGCCTCGTGCCTTCCCAGACGCCGAAACAGCGATGGGGCGTTGCATGTGGGCCCGTCTCAGGACGGTGGAGTCCTCCTCCTCCTCCTCCGCCTCCTCCTCCTCGAGGTCCTCCTCCTCCTCCTCCTCCTTCTCCTCGAGGTCCTCCTCCTCCTCCTCCTCCTCCTCCTCCTCCTCCTCCTTGAGGTCCTCCTCCTCCTCCTCCTCCTCCTCCTCCTCCTCGAGGTTCTCCTCCTCCTCCTCCTCCTCCTCCTCCTCCTCCTCCTCCTCCTCCTCCTCCTCCTGGTGTCTGGGGGCACTTAGAGCTTCCGTTCCCCGGCGGGGCGCGGCGTGGGCCCCGGCGGGCGGGGCTGCTCCGCCGCGGAGGGCCGGGTGCGCGCCAGCGCGTGGCGGCCCTGCGGTTTTGGGGCGCCGGGGCCGGTCCACGAGCCGGGCATCGCTCGGAGGTGTGCCTTTTTTCCTCGGCGAGGGCCCAACTGTAGAGGGAGGAGGAGGAGGAGGAGGAGGAGGAGGAGGAGGAGGAGGAGGAGGAGGAGGAGGAGGACCCTTGAGGAGCATCCTGGACCATCGAGAGAAAAAAACCACGCACGAGACCGGCAAATGCACGGGAGATGGACGTCCGAGCGACGGCGAGACGAGGGCCTGACGCATCCGCGTCGTCGTAGCGAGTGGGCGTTGTGGTGCGAGCCGTTGTGCGAAGCGCAGTGTGCGAGCGCGTCGCGGTGTACGCCGTGGTGCCGCCCGTGCATCGCGGGAGTCGCGTGGCCGTGCGGGCCCTACCCCCGCTCCTCGGTCAACCTCTGACTTTTACCATTCTGCTAGCCTGAAGTCTTCTCACGCATACAGCTGTTGCAGTCACGTTCAACTCATCCTTACAGCTCTCCGGTATCTTCTGATGTCCTTTCGTGCTTATCCACGGGGCACCGTCATAGGACAACCGCGGAAACGCACGGGACATCCGCCCGGCCACCGCACGGCCACGGGACAACCCTAGTACAACCACGGGCCGCACGCGCAAGGCACGCGGGACAATTAAGGATTGGGGTCATCGCGTTGGGCACGCCAGGGAGGGGGGTATCACTTTGTCACATGGCATGTCCCTGGCTAGGCACGGAGCGCTTTCACCGTCACGAATATCCGCCTCGCCTGCGAACGCGCGACCCGGATCGAGACAAAGACGGATGTGCTGGTTGTGAGATTTCTGTTTCATCCCGATAACCCCCGAGGTCTCCGATAGTATCTCGATTGAGTCGATAAGGCGTGCGATATCGCAGCCTTGGTGCAGCTTCACATTCACGATTGACGTGTTCAGGGGGCTGCCATGGGCTTGTAATGGTATGTATACGATGCGTGTATGTCGCAATGTGTTGGTAATTCTAGTACTCACCGCATGCATGTAAGCGCCAGGCGGTCCTGAGGAACGTCAGTGGCCGTGATAGCTGCTTGGAGGCAGCTTTGGTATTGTTTCGGGGTGGGCAAGGCCTCAGAAAAAGCTCACACGTCATGGACGAAGAACTCTGACGCCACAGAATCCAATTAGTTTTCGCCCGCCTACTGCACGAGTGCTTATTTGTCTGCAGTGCGTGTGCGTTCTACTACGGCGCATCGCAATATCAGGCGCTACATGGCCGACGACCGGTCTGTCTACCAGACCTCCCGGTAAGCATTGGGCCACGAGCAAGGGGCGGAAACGTCGGATCACAGTGGGGGGCGAAGAATCAGGGAAATTAGCTGTCACTCTTTTATCAAGCCGCAGCAGTAGCCAACGCTAACCAAGCCCTACGCACCAAAACAACGGCAGCAGGACATCACCAATATCAGCCCGGCGATCTCGTGGACTACCACTGCCCGACCACAGCGAGAGACGACTGGGGTGGATGGACTGGCCCACGCCCCATCGCCCGCAATTGCCCTGACCGAGGTCAGATTGCAGTTCAAGTCGGCGGTCGAGAAGCTCTCGCACAGTATCCAGACTGACGTCGTACACTGTACCTACAAGTGCTGATGGTCCGCGAGATTGGCTCCGACGCAGCGGCCGCGCGCGCTGCGCTGGCCTTCGTCGCGAGCCTGGCCGCTGGGAAACCTGCCGCGGTTTCCGGCCTCTTGCCGACCGAGCAAGGAAATGCGCGGACGACCGCGGCGAGCCGTCTCTCGCCTAAGGTACACTTAGCTTTGCAGTTTCTCATTTTATTTTTCCCGAGTAGATAGCGTAGTCGTCGGTCTTGGTTGTTTTTTATTTTTTTTTTTTTCTTTATGATTTTTAATTTTTTTTTTTTTTTTGTTTAAGTTTATTTTTTTTATTTTTTTTATTTTTTTTTTTATTTTTTTTTTTTTTTTTAATTTTTTATTTTTTTTCTTTTTTTAATTTTTTATATTTTATTATTTTTTTTATTTTTGATTTTTTTATTTTTTTATTTTTTATTTTTTTAATTTTTTTTTTTTATTTTGCCAAAGCATCCGCGGGTGACCTGCATTGCCATATGGACCGTTTGCATTCTGGCATGCTACGACATCGACGTTGACAGGACTCCACTACTACGAATCCGAAGGACCAGCCCTTCATCCACGGCATCACTGGATCTACACACGCACGAAGAATCCAACGCTTCAAATCTTCAAATATTCTAGCAGGCTTCGACGAATACCTATCTAAGTCTGAGAAACCTGGCGGGCGCGCCAGCACGGGGCGGCAACGCTCAACAGGAAGAGCAGCTTCTAGTCCCAGCCGCGCTCGATAGAAGACGCCCGACCATTACCGAGGAATCTGACATGAATTAGAGGCGCATATCATGGAAGCGTGGCACATAGGACTCCCAGAGGAAAAGCTCTACATGAGACCACGCCATGGGGGTCCTTCTATTCAGTCGCCACGGACATGATCGCAGGAAATCACGCGCACGTGACTGTAGCCAGCGAGGAGCAAGGACACTTGCAGGACATTGTCTGCGATCGTCACGATGATACTTATGAGAACTTCCCGGCGCCCTGCGCCACCGAGTACGACGAAACCTACGAATTCGATTCGGACGAACACGGCCAGTGCGTTGAGCTTTGCTTCGCTACTGACATGGCTAGAATCGTTCTAGCAGAACAACAGCCCCAAACATTGAGCGCCGGACAGATGACCAATATGCGCGTCTATGCCACGGCCGAATATAAGACGGCCGCGGTCGTCAAGAAAGACGACCCCCCGACGAAGGCTGACGCGCAGGCGAACTCGGCCAAAAAAACCATGGCTTTGCACGCGGAATTCGAAATATCGCATGGTAGCAAATGCTTCAATGCGCAGGATATGAATAACGCCACTCACATCATGACACCTAAATTCGTGTCCAAGTGGAAGTTCGTGAAGAATGAAACGGGCGAAATGGAACGAACCATCCGACTTTCCCGGGCCTTTCGCGGCTTCATGGATGCCGAGGCCTCCGATGTGGAAACCTTCGCAGGCGCGGCTCGTCGAGCAAGTTAAAGACTGCTCGCAAGCGCGGCCGCGCGCCTGAAATCGTGGATCATGGCGCCCATGTATATTGGCAAGGCTTATCGTGGGCTGGCAGAAGCCACTGGCGAGGAACACATGGTCTGCTTTGCTCCCCCACCTGGCTCAGCATCGGCGCTGCGCGCGCTGCCGGGCTTCGCGGCTCGCGACGGAACCATGCGCTGCCTGCAGCGCTGAAAGCCCGTCGTCGGCACCAAGGATGCCCGCAGGGCCTTCCCCTTCAAATCCGGGGCCAGCGCAAGAGGCCATGGGCCGACACCTACTTCGCACGACGAGAACTCCGAGACAAGTCCAAACCTCCTAACAGCCAAGCACGTTGATGACATAAACATGGCAGGAGTCGAGGATACCATGGATAAGTGCGTCAAGTGTGTAGAGGGTACGTATGGCGCGTGTAAATGTCAGAAGCAAAGCTATACGAACTGCGCCGCACGCTACGCCGAGAACGAAGGCGGCCGCGTCCAATTGGATCAGGATGAGTACATCAAAGAACTTCGTTCCATGCAGCACCCAGAACTCACGGGCACTGTAGCATAAGAGAAGACAACGACAATCGCACTTGATATGTTCATTAGCCTACGTGGTGCGTTAGCATATGCATTAATCACGCAAGTTCGGTAGCGTCGCCGCCGATTTGGGTGCCCTGTGGCTCTATAGTTCTGTAGCACTACAGCCCTATAGCCTTATAGCCCCTAGCCTTGTAGCCCTATAGCCTTATAGCCCTAGAGCATTATAGCCCTGTGGCCCTGATAGCCCAATAGCCCTATAGCACTCTAGCCCAATAGCCTTGTAGCCCTATTGCCCTATAGCCACACAGCCGTGTAGCCCTACAACCCTGTAGCCCTATATCTTTATAGCCCCATAGCCTGATAGCCCTATACCGCCGCAGCCCTAGAGCCTTAAAAAGATTCGGATTGAGTTTTACTGCAGCGTGTACAACACTAACCTACAAATACGGAGACTCAATGCCGCGACGCGCAAATTTCAACAACATCCCGATTAAATAATATAGCAACTCGTGGTTCCGACACGAGAGGTAGACCTTCATATTGACTCCGGCTATCGTCGCCTCAACTGCGAGGCCGATGGCGAAGCTGATGGGTGCGGCATCCGAGGAGCCAGCCTGTTATCGTGCGGACGCGCGCCCAATTGAAAGGCAGTTGTACATCTTTTCGACGCGCGCTGCATGTCGCGCTCCAGCTACTCAGCTGAAACCATCGCTGCAGCCCATAAATTGGAAGACTGCCACGCTACATTGCGGCGCTACACGAGGTGAAGGCTGGACCACCAATGCCGACACAACTTAAGCATATCTTAAGCATAGATGGTCTGAGCATAGTGGCTATCCTCACCGTAGACGCCGAGTCGGTTTTCAAGTTTCTATCAAGTAAGGATTTGCAGAAGTCCACTGCGTGTGCCTTAGGAGGGCAGGTCAGCTGGATATGAAAAATGAAGGATCGGGGCGTCGCTCATAGCGTAGAGTGGTTTGACCCACAAGATATGACAGCCGGTGGTCATACCAAAGTCTGTATTGATCGTGAGCTACTGCTGCAAGTTATGGAATGTACGCTGTCATTCAAACATGAGGTCAATATTTTTTAATGTCATTCACGGATTAGTCAAACGTGTTCACCTTAATTCTCTGCGGGTGATCATGTGGCTTGGCCCGTGATGACCCATGCTGATATGTGGTCTGTCATGTGGTCTGGCCCATGACAGACCATACGTTTATATGCTGTTTCTGGCTTGCCTTGACTTCTTGTACTGCGGGGCAAGTAAAATATTTGTTGTCCCTTCTTACCTTGTGATTGTATTTTAGGACTGGACCTGACGTTCGGCCCCCGTTCCCGACTTTGAACGGGCTCAGTGGGTGGATCAAATAGTGAACGTCATGATCCATGTCCGGTGTTGCCTTGGCTCAAGGTAGCGCTACCCGCTTTGTTTGCCATGCACTTGTGAGGCACAATCGAACCTGAATGTCGGATACAGGCCACATCCACCATAGTTATCCGTCTCATCCCGTGTATTATATAGTTGTCCTTTCGCCCTGCGTGCCATTGAGGGAGAAGCTATGGGATATCCCGATACGTCTACGACGTGATCGTACAAAACAGGGTCTCAGTTCACTACCTCATGGAGCCCCTGACCCTTTCTTTTCACTTGGTCTCGGATTGCTGCTGGTCGCCTGGGGGGATGGGCGTTTAATAAACCCGTCCCCGAAAAGGAAAAAGGGGGTTGGAAGAGGAAACGCCTTGAACCAAGCACGCCCTGAAGGGCTGGTGGGACTTTCAGTAGCACGCGATGCGACAGGAGCGGGTTCTGTTACAGGGATAGCGCGCGAGAGTCCCGCGCTGGCGACCTACAGCGTGGACAATCTAGTGCAGAGCCTACAGGCTAGCCCCGCTAGGGCATGATGTTGAGCCCCACGGGGGGTCGGACCTCAGCGTTGTGGCTTTCCCGCGTCGCTGCGAACGGTCGCGTTGGTCCGATTTCATCGGTCCAAGTGGTTGTTGGTCTACGTCTTGGCAAATAGGGCGGACGCCAGCTTTTGCATCCTCCCCGCATCCTCTGATGGCCCCCCCTTCTCCTTTGAACTCCAGGTTCCTTGGCCGTTGTGTGTCATTCGGCTCGTGCCACCCCTCCCACCCACCCCCGCACCTCCAGAGCACCGGCAGGAGCAGTCAGAAGACGTCCTGCAGACAATCCGAAGAGGCTTGGAAGAGCTCTCTAGGACGGAGGGGGCGGCTCCAGCAAGACATGCGCCCTCCCCCCGTTTCGTCTCCTCTTCCCCCTTCGTCTCCCTACCTCTCCTCCTCTCCCTCCACTCACTCCACCCGGCTTATGCTCCCTGCCTGCACCCCTGCTACCTGCTACTCTCCCCCACGCCCTCCCCCTCCCCATCCGGGAGGGGGGGAGGGGCGACGACGACGGCGACAGTGAGGACGGCGACAACCGTGGCGGCGGCGGCGGCACCTTTGACTCCCGCACATCCTGGGCACTCCTGCCTCCCTCTTCCCATTCCCTCCGCCCAGCCGCTGCCTGAGTGAGAGCCAGCACCAGCTGCAAAGATCACGGATACAGTCGGGGCCTTGAAGAAGGAAGCTTTTTCGTTGGGGAGGGGCTCCGCGTCCCTTAAGTGTTTCGCAGCTGGCCTCAGGTTTTCCTGATGTTGTCGACAGGAAATCGAAGGTTAACTTATGGAAAAAAGGGGCCTCGTTCCTTATTTTGGGGCTCCTTAGGTCAACGCCCCGACGGTACCGCCAGAGGCCATGTGCGGCCGCTCCCGGGGAGCACGTAGGACCCGCTGCATGCCGCCACTGGGCGCGGGCCCCGCGGGGTGCGACCGCGGCAGGAAGAGGGAGCCAGGGGCACGGTGGAGGAGAAGTACCCCTCGGTCGTTGAAAGTAGGTATTTTTGGATTCCCAGATTCCACTCTACTTCGAGCGCCTTCCTACTTCAAGCGTCGAGTGGTGTTCCCTCTTCCCTCCTCTTCAGGAGGCGGGCGGAAACCCAATCTATTTCCAACGTCTTCATACTTCATGTTTCTACCCACTTCTTCCGACCGATGGGTAAGGGGGACACGGGAGGGGGCGGTAGGGTCGGGGGTGGGGGTCGGCCTTCACCTGGGAGGTCTCGCGCAGTATCGCGGGGCTTCTCAGCGCGCCGTAACTCGTCCACGGGGCTGCGGACCACCAAGCTGGCATCCCGAGTCGTGGAGTCCTAGTCCTCTGCCCGCCCCTCCCTGGCATCTGCTGTGAAGACCACGGTCATCATCGCAGCCCGGCAGTCCTGGCAGTCTGCGCACCACGACAACACGTAGCACGGAAGCCAGATTTCCATGAATCGTGCCATGCTTCATGAATCACGCATCCTTGGAAGCCAACACCAGTCTCAGTAAGCGGTGGTAACGTCTGCCTTGCGTAGGAGTTGATCAATTCAAGTGCACCAGCGAATGGTGGCACACAAGCAGGCACATCAGGTATTTGACGTGTTGGCCGCAAATGCGCGATTGAGAACTACGGGTTTCGACGATGACGTTACACATGCAGCCAAGGTTGTTGACTCAGAAGGTCTTCGGGGCCGACAGCTGTCAAGCAGCAAACACGAACAAGAGCGCCGCGAAACGTCGCCAGGGACGTACACAGCGGATAGTATAGTTGCGGCAATGTCGAGTCATGTTGCTCCCATCAGTTCGTAGGGAAACTTACCGCGTAAATTGCTGGATCTTCGACAGCGCCGCCACTCTTACGAGCGACCTGACTCTTGGCAGTACGGCGTTCAGCGTGATGATGGTCGACACGGTCCATCGTCCTATCGCCGTCAATCCGTTCTCGCAGGAGGCGGTCTAGACGCTAGACGTCTTTCTAATTCTGCGTGCTCGCGAGCATTCCGTCGGGTCTGGCTCGATGAAGTCGCGGCGAAGCGGCCACCAGCCTGCGACCCCGTCCATGAAGGCGTCCTTGCATCCTTCGTCATGCCGAAGGCGAAGCGAAAACGCAGTTTCATCGTCTGGAGGGTCGCCAGTCGGTCGACCGCCGGGCCGATCTTCGTCGATGCCGTCGCTGTTGTTCTGCGATTCCGCCTTTCCATCGTCGTCCGGAATCGATGGTCGTATATGTGTTTGCTCTTGCGGCGCGTGTTGTAGGAGCAGTCCCGCCTTCGGCGCGTGATGCAGCAGCAGTCCCGGCCTCGCCCGTGGGATCTATGGGCCGCGCCCACGGCGGTAAGCTGCGCTCCTCTGGGCGGGCTCGGTCTTCGCACGAGCAGTGCCAGTTCCTTCGCCTTCTGGCGAGCTCTCCCTTGCGGTCTCATCATCCTTGATTGGGCGCCTGGAGTCCAGCAGGCACGTGTGTGTCAGATTATTCTTGCCGGTGCCGCAAGGTTTCGCCGCGTCGTCGGGCCGATCGCCTAATCGAGACGAGCACCCTTGTCCAGCGAAGCAGTGTCCCAGGTGGCATCGGTCCTTTGGCCTGACCCCGCCACACAATTCCAATTGCTGGGACGTGCTCTGGCCGTGAATCGTCTGCACAGTCCCCTTACGGACAGCGCCTGTCCACCTCGGTGCCCCTGCTGCTCAAGGAGAAGTCAACAATACAATGGCAATCACTTGGTTGCAAATCGCAGATGGCAATCGGCCAGTGAGGGTCGTGGACCTTCCATGTGACTTTCGTCCGTTTCAGGGACCCCTGTAGATCTGATGCCACACCTCGTGCGCGCAAGTTGAAATTGAAGTTCCTGACGCTTCACACATCGCCACCAGCCCAGGCGTGGGAGCATTACAGTCGGGGCCCTGAAGAAGGAACCCTTTTCGTTGGGGAGGGGCTCCGCGTTCCTTAAGTGTTTCACAGCTTGCCTCATGCTTTCCTTATGTTGTCGACAGGAAATCGAAGGTTAACTTATGGAAAAAAGGGGCCTCGTTTCTTATTTAGGGTTCCTTAGGTCAACGCCCCGACGGTACAGTGGAAAAGCGGGGGGGGGGGCAGGGCGGCAGCCGTCAAACAGAAGGTCGGGACCAGAGCGAGCAAGCCCAGGAGTCGACCAGAAAATCCGTCGCGGATCGTTCGACGTGAGCGGTTTGTCGGGGCAGTTTGGAAGGCCTGTGTTTGGGGATCTCTTGGGGCCCTATTAGGGGTTCTCTTGCAGGTCCTCTTTGGGGCCCTGGGCGCCATCTTGGAGCGCACTGGCGATAAGAATGGTGTCCTTGATTAGTGTCTCCCCGTCGTAGCCAGACAAGTCGCGTCTGTGGGCTCCACTGGGGGCTACTGTGGCCCCCTTTGGGCCTCTTTGGGCCATCTTGCTGGAGTCATCCTGAGCCATCAGGAGGCCATCGAAGGCGAAACTGCGAGAGTGTAAAACACATTGGTTCCCCTTAGGTTTTGGAAACAGCTGGGGCTCTCGGGGGGTCCTTGGGAAGCTCTGTGGTCAATTGGAGCCGTCTTGGAGCGTCCTTGAAGCATGCTGGAACCTACCTTGAACCATGTGGGGTTATCTTCAGCGATCTTGGAGGCAATCTTGGGCCATCTGGAGCCCTCTTGGGCCATCTTGGACGCTCCAACAGCCCGCGCCCCCCCCAACCAGACCTAGCGGAGGGGGCAGGGGGAGGGGTCAAGCTACCCGTCCGCCCGTAAGCAGTGTTGCTCACTCCCACCCGCCCTCCCAACGCATAAGCAACACGCGGGCGTCAGCACATCGCGTAAGAACGCCACAGAAGCCACGGTTTCCAGATGCACCAGACACCCTGGAGGCCCAAGCGCGCCAGGCGCGCCAGGTGCGGCGAGTGCTCCACGTGCGCCCAGTGTTCCACGTGCTCCAGCGCCAGGTGCGCCAGCCGCTGGGAACCAATCTGGGCTCCCATCGCGTGCGCCGCAGTTTTTTTTGCTGCGACAGCAACTGCGCACTCCCCAGCGCATGCTTGTGGCTGCTGGCCGCCGCGCGCGGCCCCCAACCATCCACGCACGAGAAACAAGCGTGCGAACAGGCGCGCGGCCTGACACGCCAACCAGCCGGTGTGCACCGAACTATCCTCGTCGAAACGCAATGCTCGGAGGTGGATCGACCTCCTACCCTGACACGTCGATTGAGGAGTTGGCCGTTTTCGGTTCGCGAGAGGGCGTCGCGGCCGTCATGTTTGCGTGTCCAGGTCCGTCGGTTTCGGTCCCAGGCCGTTCTCACTAAGGGGAGGTCTACTAAAGGGAGGTTTGTCCACCGCCGAAATGCAGAGTGCACGCCAGGGCGTTCACACTCCCGCCGTGCCAGCTGTAGGCTCAACTGCGACGGGGAAGCTCCGCGGCTCCGCGCGTCGCGCACGGCCAGGCCCACAAGGGGGGGTAACGTTCAGCACCCCCCCTATCTGGGGCTAGCCTTTCTTCATAGGGGGCTACACGCGAACCCGACCCTCTCCCTCAGAAATCGTGGGGGGTAGGGGTAGGGTTCGCATGTGGCCCTCTATCTTCAGGGGCCATCGGACAGCCTCTTGAGACCCTCTTGGGACCACCTTGGGACGCTATTGGGGCTGTCTTGGAGGCCTCGTGGGCCTGGATTGGAGCTGTCTTGGGCCATTTGGGGGCCACCTGGCTCCCCCTCTGGGGCCCCCACAACCGTCTCTTGGGGCCCTCTTGGCGCAAACTTGGGGCGTTATTGGGGCCCGTTTGGAAGCCTCTTGGGTCCAGCTTGGAGCTTTCTTGGCCAATCTTGGAGCCAGTTTGAGGTTTCTGAAAGCCCCATCGGAATCGAAAAAGTGAGACGACAGCAGCCATTGATTTGTCAAAGCAGTCGGTCGACCACCTGCGCCCAGATGACGGTGGGAGTTGCTGACGCCCCGGATGTCCTTGTAGAATACCCGCACAAAGTGGTCGCAGGACGGCCGCGGATGTGTCGAGGGAAACCGCGGATAGAACGCGTCTAAGCAGGTTTAAGCCAGAGCCTGATACGCTACCCTTCCGCAACCTCTTTGGCACACAAGTTATCATGGTGGCGGAGCTGGCCACGGCCAGCCCCCGCTGGGCGCTCCCCCCGCGGCCAGGGGCGCTGGCCATTGTTTTCGCGGCCATGGCCGCAGGGCGAGCGATCCACGGCAACCAGCTGACACAACAGCTGGACAAGGGCTATGTGACCAAGCAGCTGAACGAGGTGAGCGTGACCAAGTAGTTGGACAAGGTCTGCGTGACCACAGGAGCGCCGAACGAGGTTTACGTGACCATCGGAGCGCTGAGCGAGGTCTACGTGACCACC